CGATCTACTCGATCTATTACGAATGAATATGTATATATAACATAAGCATTAAATTTGGATGATGATATAATGACCGTGCAGTGGCTTGTGGCTCACCCAAAATTTCAAAAAAATCCTGTATACATCGCTGGCGATTCTTACTCCGGTATCCCTGTTCCAGTCATTGTCAAGAAAGTTTCTGATGGTAATTAAATAATGTTTGATTGAGTTTCATTTCATCATGTGCATGCATTGTGCCCAATTGTTTGGCTGGCTGAACCAGGGGCTCTAAAATGGGGTCTATGTTACTAATTCTTTTAATGTTTATTTGTATTGTAGGTAACACAGCTGGAAATTTACCGCTAATCAACCTCAAAGTACATATTACTTTTTGGACATATTTTAAAATATTTTGTGCTATAGAAGAGGAATGAATGAATTCTGAATTTTGATGCAGGGTTATGTTCTAGGAAACCCGTTAACCGACTGGAAACATGACTTCAACTCGAGAATTAAGTTTGCTCATAGAGTAGGACTTTTATCTGATGAACTCTACGAGGTGATTCATTTATTACTTTTAGTTGCTTCGAAAGTAAATTAAAGATAAAATTTAAGTACAATATCTCTATATGCATTGTTTTCTAATACCCTATCTTGCTATAGGAAACTAAATTGGATTGTCAAGGAGAGTACGTTTTCCCACACGTTGTGTTTGTCAGTGTACGACAGATTCAAGTCACAAGTCTTCACTCTTTTGTCTTCGTGTGGTAGTTGATTTTTGATCGATTTTATTTATGTCATGCTTGTCAGTGTATGACTAATTCAAGTCTTGTGACTTTGCTTTTTGGTCTTTGTAACATTATAAGTTGTGAAAGTGTTATAATTATTCCAAGTCATTTTATGTTGTTAAGTTGAGTTGTGTAATTTGTGTTGAAATACTCTAGAATTTGAGGATCTTTTAGAAATTTTAGTTGTATTGGAGAGGAATTCTCTTAATAGAGATTTGGTTTGCCCTAGGAGAAAGAGTACATTAAATTTTTATCAAGAATAGAGTTTCATAAATTCAAGTTTCGAAAATTCTAGTGAAAGGATTATAAAGATAAAGTATATGATATATGAGTTTTTTTTTTCTCTCAATTTACTTTTTTTCTTTCCTTGATTCACATTGTGTTGTCTTGTTAGTTAATTCAAATGCTTAGAAATCTTGAATTCAGTTATTGATTCATTTGAAATCGTATTGTGGAGTTTCCTTATTCTCCTTTCCTGTTTGTCCTAAGTGAATAAGGAGTAACATACTTTTTTTTTCAATGTTATTGTAATACTAGTAGAAAAAGGGTAATTTACGTCACTGTATTCTCGTCGGACAAAAAAAAATCTGACGTTAAAAAACATGGTGACATTTTTGTAATTAAGTCCAACTTTTTTACATCGGCCCCTACGAGGTCCGACGTAAAATATCTACAAATTTTAAATTGTATTCGTGCGCGTCAATATTTAAACAAGAGAGTTTTGAGTGTATGTGTCATTCATGTTTTCTGAGTTAAGATTTCGTTTGAGTGTATGTTTGCGCGTTTTGGTGGTTCTTGGGTTTTTGACCGATTGCATTGGACTCACGTTTGAGGTTAGTTTGGAAAATCCTTTCTTAATATATTAGCTAATATGTTGAAAATAAAGTATGTATTGATCTATTAATATATTAGTTAATATTATCCTCTTTTTCGTGTTTGGGTGGATCATTGTTTGTTAATATATTATTTATGATTTAGGGTTTAGGATTTAAGGGTTATATACTTAATTTATGCATTAAGAACTTTAAATTTAAAGATTGAATCGTTGATTTGATATAAAACACATATTATTGAATGAAATAAGTCTATGTAGACTTATTCCTATAATAAATAAATCACTCCTTATATATATACATATGTATTATTAATGCATAATATATTTTGTTTAATAAAAAATAAACGAAAATTATGATGAGTATAAAATCATAATAAATTAAACGTAAAATAATTATTTATTGCCTCAAGAAATCAAGTAAATGTAATTATGTAAATCATCATGTTTAACATGCACTTATTGGAATTCACATAGTGGTGTGGAAGATTTGAGTAACTTAAATAAAGTTATGGAATTAAATAACATTTTTATCATTGTATACTTAATTTTTTTTTGCATTAAATGATAGTAAAATTTTGACATTTTTTTTATAATTATGAATATAGCTAATAAAGTATTTTAAATATGACAATTAAAAATTGATTTATATTTATATTTTTAAATACAAAATTTATGCTATTAAAAATATTTTTTTAATAAGGAGTTTAAAAATTAGATTTGAGATTTTTTTAATTAGTTGATAAAATAAAAATATTTATACTAACAACATATAAAAGTTAAATTCAAACTTTATTTGAAACTCTATTAAAATTAAATTTATATAAAAAAAATTAATTAAAATTATTAATAGTGTAAAATATTTTTAATCTATTAATAGTGTAATTTTTTTTTTGCTAATAATATATGAAAATGAAACTCACAAATTCCAAATAATAATATATCCACGAGCAAAAGTTCTGAAAGAAAATATCTTGTTCTAAAATACAGGAGTTATTTTTTACAGCAAAACATATTAATTTTTAATTATGAGTAAATACGTATATAATACATGATTAAAATTTTTATATAGAGATATAATATTATTTAAATTATAAATTAATATATACATATTTTATCTTCATAAATTACATGTATCATCATTAAAAAAGAATATTTAACATAACATATCCAAAACTCAAACAACTAATTAAGTTAAAATAATTTCATATAAGTTAATCTATGTAATCGTAGAATAGAAGTTAATATATAAACCAAAATTTAATTTTAAGGATAAATATTTATATTACTTGAAGAAAAATATTTCACATAAAATTATATTAAAAATCTAAAACTTAACATATAAATAGTAAATTTTAATTAAAAATGACAATGGCTAAACTAAGAAATTATATTTATATAAAAGATAGAATTGAGTAGTCAAAAGATTACTCAACCCGATTATTACTTATTTTTTTTTTTTTTGTTTGAGGGTAAAAGAAAAAAAGAGAGATTAATGTTAATTACGGCTATTTATCGCCTAGCCTGGGTGTCTACGGAAACCCTTTGCCGTGGTTGGTAGAATTTCAGGAACCATTCCTTCACCTCATCGCCGTTTCCTTCTTTCTTCCTTTTCCTTTTCCATTTCCAGGTCAACTTAATCTTCCTACGCATGCTTTTATATTTTATTGATTTTGTGCAGTAAGGTTCGTTTTGTTTTTGGGGCTGAATGCTTCTTCTTCTTCTTCGTTGGATTTAACGGAATTTCTGGTTTCACTTTCACACCTGCTTTTCGCCTCCTTTACCCCTTTTATCGACTAATTAGCAGATTTCCGCTTTCGGTTTTGGTGCACTCTTTATACTTAAAGAGCCATCACCCGCCATACAATTGCGTGCTGAAATTTGGATGGTGTATTTTCTTTTTGATATACTTTTCGACTTAAAAAACATGTATTGTAGGTACTCATTAGTTATTCATTTGAATAGAGAAGGCTTAAGCAATCTTAGTGCTTTACACTTGGTTTCATTCTTCATGTTTATTCTTTATACTTGACGTTTTTTCTTCTTCTTCCAGAATGGCTGAGAGTACGAGTGATGAATCATTGTTGGCTCGTATCCAACAATTGGAACAGGGTATGTGCATTTTTTTTTTTTTAATCTTTACCAGTTGATTTAACTCTCTTACAATGTATGGTTATAGGTTTAGCAAGAACAATAGATACAATAGATCAATGTTGTTGATTGATTATTGTAGCTTGATTACTTTTATTTGGCGTTAAAGTCATTTATTATACATATTAAATTTACAGAGTGTATAATTTTGCAGAGCGTGATGAATTACGTAAAGATATAGAACAGTTATGCATGCAGCAAGCTGGGCCTGCCTATCTTGCTGTGGCTACCCGAATGCATTTTCAAAGGTATCTATTTGTTTTCCTTTATCTCTTAGGCAATCTACATATAATGAGTATAAATTGAGTTAAGCCCAACAAAGAGTGTCCATTATATTGAAATCCATGCCCAATTAGGACAGCTGGATTGGAGCAGGAGATTGAGAGTTTGAAAAAGAAGTTGGCTGCTTCCTCTAGAGACAATCTAAATCTACAAGAGGAGCTTTCTGAGGCATACAGAATTAAAGTTAGATATCGATTTCTTGTCTTTGTTGCTTAAAAATTCTTTCTATTTTGTTAATGCTTACTTTATTGTATTCAGAGTCAACTGGCAGAACTACACAGTGCTGAGGTTTCAAAGGTCCCTCTCTCTCTCCCCCACCCATTGTTCTTCATTTTGTTTTGCACTCTACTACCACAGCATAGAGATTACATTGGGAATTTGTTATCAAGCTTTAGTAGCATGTGGAGAGTTGTTGAATACATAATTACAAACAGATATTACTTTGTACATTTATTCATCTGATTTTTTTTTACTTTGCTTTAAAATTTTATGATGGACTATGGTGAGAACATGATGGGAAGAGTTTTTGATCCAATTTATAAATTGCTTGTGCACATGCTAGAGTTTTTTGAAAGAGAGTTGATGTGCATTTTTGTGTTGTGACTTGTGAGGTTTATGGTCTTGGTATGTACTTTGACATAATTGTACATGACATAATTTATATGTCTAGAATATGGAAGCTGAGAAGCAGGTCAAGTTTTTCCAAGGTTGTGTGGCTGCTGCTTTTGCTGAAAGGGATCAAGCAATAATTGAGGTTACAATAGTTGCCATTTTCATTAAAAAAAAAAAATATTGTTTCCAATGCTACTTACTTTTGTTGTAGTAGTTGATATTTTCAAAATTTTCCATGATACTAACAGGCTGAAAAGGCCAAAGAAAAGGAGGAGACAATGTCACAACAAATAAATGGCATAGATAAGAGGTATTCTCAATCTTTCTGTCATTTTAGAGCATATTTATCAACTACATAAATTAGCAAAGAAAGATGAAATAGAAAGATAGTTGGCCGAGGATGTTCCAGAAAAGATTCCATTTTTTGTTTTTATCTAAGTAGATATGATGATGACTTGGCATGATGCACTTGTTGCTTATGCTTGGTGGAGTAAAGAAGCTATGGAACAAACATACTGAGATCCCCCCAAAATTTATTAGCAGCTACTGTCAATTGAAGATGTGTTTAACTTTTGCTCACCAACAATTTTCCATTTTAAGGGATTTATTAAAATTATCTTACATGGAAAATTGGCAATGTCATGTTTTCTTAATCTCTTCTACATTTCTTTCTGTTGAAACCGTGCTTGCAACTGTGTCTGTACTCTCCAGAATTGATTTTCAAAACTTCAACACCCAAACTTGTGCTCCCCTTCTTTATATGAAGGACTATGTGAAATCTTTTAATAAGTTAATTATTTTTCTACTTAGTAATTTCTTAAGCAATATTGAAAGGTTGAAACTGCGTGTGTATTATATTATCACTTGTACCACTGTTCTGCATTATTTTATTTTTAATTAGATGCATGACATCATTTACTTGGGAAAACATTTTTATGATTTTACATGCAATCGATCTGTGACACAGGGTAGAGGAGCTCACCTCAAATTGTCTTAAATTAAAGGAACGTAATGATGCTCTGCAGATTGACCAAGCAGTGCATATGAAGCAAAATGAAAATTTAAAGGAGGTAGCATTCTCACTCTCTCCCTCCTTCACTCTCTTCCCCCTTTCTATCTTCCATTTTTTATTTCCTTTGACATTCAATACAGAGATTGTCCCATGGTTTCTTGGGATACAGAAGTAATAATCTGAAACCCAGGTTCCTGCATATTTTCTATTAATTTCTTCATTATGCGATATATAACAAAATGTTTGTAATGACATTTCATGGATATTAAAATACATGATTCAATATTTTTAAATGTTTTATCTTGTCCTTTCTCTTGATACTTTTTTATGAATTTTCAGGTAATCAATAAGTTCTTTCAAATCAGGCAACATTCTCTGAAAGAATTTGAAGATGCAAGTTGGGATGAGAAATGTGCATGTCTTTTAGGTGACCCTGAGGAGGTGTGGAGTTACAATGATGCTTCCACCTCTAAATACATTGTGAGATTTCAAAACCATGATATTCTTTTTCCTTGATTATCAGTTGATATGTTCCCTGTGCTGGTTATTCAGTATGGTCTCCAGTACACATGCTAAAACACTCCACATCCTTTTGAAACCTAGTTTGATTTGGCATCCTCTTTGCAACTGTGATGATAGATTTCTGTTGTTACATGCTTGGGAAATTATTGTATTGTCATTTATGTTCTGTACATACTGTGAATAACAATTTCTCAGACAGAGTGCATTAGAAGATCAGCTGGAGAGACTAAGGAGTTCTGTGGATTATCTTCAAAATAAATTAAGGGTGGTATGATCTAGTTTTTCTGTTATTGGCTTATTGTTGCCTTGTTAACCTTATTTTAAACCATTAGTGATTCTTTATCTGTTTTGGATGCTTTAGGGCTTGGAAATTGAAAATCATTTGAAGAAGAGAGTCAATGTACTGGAAAAGAAACGAGTGAGTATTTTCAAAATTTAATAGAAAAAAGTTAGTACATCTGCTTATTCTGGATTCTGATGACTCATTTGCAGATTTCCATGGACAAAGTGATTGAAAATGGCATAGCGGACTTGCAACATTATCATTCTCAGTGTAGGGAGCAAATTATAAAGTTACTTGGTGATGGAGAATCTAGTATTAAATCCCTAATCAATGTAATTGATGAAAGAGTCGAGAGGTTTGGTCTGAGTACTGTACCAAATTTGACCCCTCAAAGAGATGCAGAACTAGAAGAGAATGAATGTTGTGATGTGCATACAAGACCTCAAGCTAAACCTGTCTCAGAGTTGAAGGTTTGAAACTCCATTCTAATACTGCATCCCTTCAATCCTTTTTCAAAGGGGCATCTCTTTTTTGTTAATAGCAAATAGTGCATTTGTAGCCAATGGTGGCTGATTGAGCTGTAGAATATAGATAATAGTGCATATTTTCGTGGAAGAATATGATTGAGAATGGAAGACTAACATGATTGAGAATTGAATGTATAATATTACAAATAAAAACAGAGTAACTAAAAAGAAGAGAAGTGGAGGGAAAAGAATGACAGAACATCGAGGGAAAAGAACTTTTCTTTTTACCAGTCCAATCATTTTCAAGCTGAAATTGGGCTAGTCACGTTGAGCATAGTTGTGCCAGCTGACGCCTGATCTTCAATTGATATTTGGCCAGATGTATTATTTTCATGTCCACCTGATTAATTCCAAGCTGACAACAGGCCAGCTTAACAAAAAATGCAATGGTTTTGCCTAAATCTGTTACAACTTATTCTCTCAGTAATCAATTATATTATATATATACACTACCATTTAAGAAGTTTGCGGATGGCTTTTTTTCCTTTTTCATTCGGAATTTAGATCATTAGATGAGTTAATTCTGATGGTATAATAGTGGAACTTCTCTTATTGAAGTTTCTCATGGCTTTGAGCTTCAATGGAATTCTCTTAACTTGGTTGGATTAGAGTCTGGTTTTATTTCACTGATTTGTGCTGACTTTTACAAGATGCACTCCTTGGAATTCCTTAAGTTTTCTCAATGCTCTTTAACAGGGGACTAGTCCTAGCACTCTGTCAGCAGATGCTGGTTTACAAAGTGACGCATCTGATGCTTTAGCAATGGCATTGCAAGAGAAGGTGTTTATACCATCTTTACATTTATAAAAAATCTCCATGTATTTAGTTTCTCTTTTCCTCATCACCAATCCAAGTGTTTTTTTCTTCCAATTTATTGCAATCTGGCTTTCTGATGTTTACCATGCTTTATGTTTCAGGTTTCTGCATTATTGCTTTTATCACAGCAAGAAGAAAGACATCTATTGGAGACAAACGTGAATTCAGCCCTTCAAAGTAAAGCTGAAGAACTTCAGAGGAACTTGTTGCAGGTACTTGTTTGTCACATCATTGCTTCATAGTTTAGACACTTGGAACATTGAGATGCTAGTAGGGATTAGAAAATGGATTATGGTTAAATATATATGATATAGACTAAATTGGTCTGAATCAAGAAAGTTAGTTGTATGTTCTCAACATCTGGATTTTTGGTAACTATGTTCTTTTATCATTTTATTTTCTATTGTAATTTTTTCTATTTACATTCTTCATCATTGAAAAATCTATGCTGACATTCCTCTTCGAGATATGTAAAACAATATGTTAGTAATTATGTCTGTGGACCAGAGCAATAATATTTTAGAATCACATGTGCAAGAATCCTTGATATTATCCATTATTTACAAATAGTTTTTTATTTGTAAGTTGTTATTTTTTACTCAGGTTACCAATGAAAAGGTGAAAGCCCTCATGGAATTGGCACAATTAAAGCAGGAGCATCAATTACTTCTAGAGTATGATTACTTTTATGATGACAGTTACTAATTCAATAATTTTTCATCACTGTATATTTTTACTCAGTTACTCTGTTATTTTGTAATATTTTTTTCCTAAGCATCTGTGTCTGTTTTCTTCAATACGAATATCCAAAGAAAAAGTTCCTTGTGTCATTTTAAAGGATAAATTTGCATTAACATGATTTGTTGTCTACTGTCTTTTCATAAGTAGACCTTCTATTCTAAACCTATCTGTTTTGGACTTTCTCTCCTTAAAATTAGAAGCTCCCCTAATTAGGTTCTGTAGAAATTCTATTTCTGGGTTTTGTTGATTAGAAAAAATTTATGGCTCGTCTTCTCCATTTGAGGGAGGAGAAACTCAAAAAAAAAAATGAAAAATAAAAGAAGGGCAACTATAAGTTTATGATTTTGGTTGTCTTCTACTTTTCATGGTTAACAACAGCACGTCTTATGAAGAAATGAAGTACTACATAAGTGTGCCATTTTTTGTTTTTGTTTTTTTGGGTTTAAAGCAACACTAGGTACCTTTAAGATACTAAAGTTTGGAGAGCTCAAAGGTGTTTTTTTTTCTCCTGAAACTTGTTGCATAAACTTCATGATGTCTAAATTTATTTGGCTTTGATTGTCCTCCCAACACCACCACTTTCCCTTTTTGGCACTCTGCTGGGATATTTCTTTTTCAATCTTGAAGGTTTTTAATAAAATAATTTATTGTATTGCATGTCAAACAATATAATAGAATATATTTATGCAATAAATAAGAATACTCTGTTGTCTCTCCCTCTAATCTTGCTTTCAAAGGATACTTTTTTATTATTTACCGTCAATTGTATTCTTAATCATTATCAGTTTGAATTTTATCCCTCCTTATTTGTGTTTCTTTGTCCTGCTGGTTCAAAAGCTTTTCCTTCATTACTTTGCGATGCCATTTTGAATAATACAGCTTTTGTTCTCTAATGAATGTGCAGAAAATTGGGTCATGAAACTAAACAAGTGAAAGATGCAGTCAGCACTGGAGAAAGAAAGCTTGGAACTCGGGAAAGAGACGGAACTTTAAAGAACTTACTGAAGAAATCATATTTGAGACGATGGATTGGACCGTTGGATGTTAGTGCAAATGAAGTGGACAGTAGCTCAAACAATGAAGGGAAATTCTTCAATCATCAATCTAGCAGTATGGATTTTGCAAGGCAAGTGTTATTTTTGGGAGGTTTTTATTCTGATTTTATTCCATCAATGGATGATTGTGGCTGAATATTTTTTTTTTGGGTAATGAAAATTTTAGGTTAGAGAGATTATAACCTAATCTAAGGTATGAAAAGCCATTTGAGTTTAAAGATTACTTTAGAGGGTTTGTATTTTTTTAATCCCTCAAGGAGGCGAGTAGAAGGTTAAACTTATGATTTGTCATAAGACCTTGTCGTACTCCACTCAATCCTACCCCTTTTCTGGATAGTTTAAACCATGTCAGATCTATTTGATATTTTGAAGATACCACCATGATATATGGTATTTCTTTTCAGCCTTATGTTTACTTGCACAGTTTCCTCATGTTTATCAGAATGAAGATTGAAAATGCAACTCTTAAGGAAAGCATGGAAAGCATAGAGCATTTAACTTCATCAATTCATAGGCTTCGACTCTCTCTTTTAAAGGTATCATACTATTTTGTTTCACAACTATTAAAAAAGAGACCGGGGTAAGAGGGGTTCTCATGGTGGGCTTGCATGTTTTGTGGTCACAAACAATTTTGCTTAACTTCAGGTGCTAGCATGGAATAACATGAAACCTTTTCCTGTTTAGTTTTTGAAACTTGAAAGCTAAAATGTGTTAACATGAGTTGCCTGCTTGATATGGTTTTTACTTTTTAGGCCAAGGAGTCTGTGACTTCGGAAGGAACAGTTGCCGGTGTTTCAGAAATTGTTAATGACGTAATTCACGAGGCAGAACTTTTAAGGACTGCTCTTGGCAGCTCCTTACCCACCAGTTGGTCGGTTGAGGCAGATATTAGTTACATTGGATATGGTGTGGGCAGTGACACGGAGCATCAGCAATGCAGTGATGAGAAGACGGATACTGTTTCTGCCACAGGGCTCGAAATGGTTGAGCTTTTGATTTTTTCAGCTCAGATTTTGAGGGACTTGCAAACCAAGATGGTTCCTGCCTGATGTGGAAGTTCTGTGAAATGCTGAATGTGTGATGTTGTGGTTACTTGTGTGATGTTCCCTATAATATGGGCATCTTAGATGTGAAGTTCCATGCACGTTGAGGCCGCTGTGCTGCTCTGATGCCCGTGGGGTCGTGTTGTGAAATTCCAAAGGATTGGCCCATTGGGGGAGAACTTGACAATTTGTTGAGGGAGAAAAGGAAACCATGTGCAAGTTGTGTTAGTTTATAACCCTCATCGCTTAGCTTGCATCTGCACTTGCTTGCCTAAGCTTGAGATAAGATGATTGTCGATTGTTTTGTCACAGTTCGATTACTTGTGGTGTCTATAACTGTATATTCTCATTCTATTATGTCTGTGTTTATGCTAATCTGTAATATTTTAAAAATTGTAATTTATTAATGAGTCGCATGTTGAGGTTAGCCTGGTTTTTGGGAATATTTAAAAAGCTCTTTCAGCAAGATTTCATTAAAAATTTTGAACACAATAAATTGAGCATTTTTTACTCGGTGTCTTGGTTTCTAATTTTGTTGCTGTAACTGTACTCGAGAACAAATTTACTTTGATTGGAGCTGTGATGCTTGTGCAAAAGAAAATATTATAAGAATCATGGAATTCGCATTTTTTTATAGCATAATGACAAAAGTTTTTTTTTTTTTTTTAAATTATCTTATATTAATTATGCTGTTATATTTAATTGCATATATGAACAGTGAACTTTTAAGCGATGTATGATATCTAATATCGATCATAAATCCTAAAAATTAAACTTTCATTAAAAAATATTTTGAAAAAAGGATACTCAAAATTTATTCTAAAAAATATTATTATACCAATATAATAATTTTATACTATTCTAATAGCAAGATGAGAAGAAAAAAATATAGATATTATTAAACAATTTTGTTTTAATACATGGATAATTTACTTTTATTTATTTTTTATTTTTACACAGACCAATACAAATTAAACCAAGAGCTATAAGAATCAAAAGAGTATATAACTATAAGGACTACAATATGTTTAATATTTTTTTAAATTATTTAAACTTAAATATTTGTATAGAAAGTAAATAATGTGTACTATGATTTGCTAATGTAACCTAACTTGATTTTTAGAAAAAATATTTTAACATAGTTATAGAAAAAATAATTACAGTAATCCCACTATAAGTACCCATAGTAAAAGATAAATATTAAAAAATTTGTTAACATACATCCACATGATAGAATTGTGTTAGTAAATTATATATATATATATATATATATATATATATAATGATTTACTGTATATATTATCCGTATATTTTAATATAATGTTACTTATAATTTTCTAAAGTATCCTTTTGAAAGCAAGTCTGTGTTCACAAATCTCTTATATATTAATGAAAAATAAATTGAGGCTTAAATATATTTTAATTTTTTATAAATATAATTTTTAATTAATACCTGTAATTTTTTTATATTTTAAGATTCTTAATTTTTTTAGTAGTTTTTTAGTCATTATTTTTACTCTAATTAATTTAGTGATGAAACAATTAGAAATATTTAAAACTTTAGTTAAGATGATTAAAGTAATGAATAATATTTTTTTTCGTACAAGCATAGGAGAAATAATATTTTTAATTAAGATAATTAAATTATTTTAAAGTATGTAATTTAATTGGTCATGTATTTACTATATTATGCAAATATAATTTATTTTTAACTTATAATATATTGTGAATAATGTTTTTTATTTTTAATATAATTTTTAAAAATTATAATTTATTTATTTACTTTTAATATAAAAAAATTAGCGCAATAGAAATACTCATATTAAGTTATTTTTTATAAAAATAAAAAATATTACAAAGATAATCGCAATAACACTCATGCTTCTAACTATCTCGATGCCTCCTCTCCTAACCATCTTGAATCGTAACAGGGTTAAGTTAAATTTACATTTTGAAAGGGCGGGGAGAATGTTTGGGCTTGTTAAGAAGAGAAAGCCCAATATAAGTTAATTTTTGCGTCACAATCACAGGAAAAGAGTGCGATGGAAGGAACAGAAACGAAGAGCGATGGCAATGGCGATGTTGTTCGTCCATGGCAGTCTTACCACACTGTTTACACGACCGCCAAAGCAGGTCCCTAATCTATTCCTTTTAGTCTTTAATTAAGATTCATGATTATTTATTCTATTCTGTTTCTGGGAAGTGGGAATAAAATGTTATTCTTATTGTTAAGGAATGGAAGGGGTTGACAAGGAGAAGGTACAAAGGGTAGTTTATGAAATGAGCAAAGGATCCAAATACTTTCAAAACGAGGAGCGGAAGGACGCTTATATTAAGCAGAAAATTGACAACCTGCGAATTCACTGTGCAAAGCTCACACAAGCAGACTTGTCCAATTATCAAAAGGTAATACCATACCATCATCTAACGTATCTTTTCCTCTCATACATACTGAATTTAATGCTTTTCATATGTATTATTTTCCTGATGACAGGTGGCTGATAGTAGAATTGTTGAGCTAGAAGCTTCACGTGACCTCTCAAGGATTTGGTTACATGTAGATATGGATGCTTTCTATGCTGCAGTTGAGACTTTAAGTAACCCTACATTAAAGGGCAAGCCAATGGCTGTTGGGAGCATGTCCATGTTATCCACTGCCAACTATGAGGTTTACTATGTCAATACATTATAACCTTGATATTCTTTTTATTATTCTAAAATCTTCTGAATTGATCTCATGGATGTTTGAAAAATTAACCTGCACAAACTCTACTGAATCACGGAATTCCTGATCCTGATTTGGTCTTCACATAGGCCCGGAAATTTGGGGTTCGTGCTGCCATGCCTGGGTTCATTGCACGTAAGCTATGTCCAGAATTAATCTTTGTCCCAACAGATTTCAAGAAGTATAATTATTACAGTGATTTGACCAGAAAAGGTATTCTTCTTTTTGTGATTGATTTTGGACTGCTATTTTTCCTTTTAATTACTCAGGGTTGCTTAATATAAACGTATCATTGTTAGTTTTTCAGAGGTATGATCCCAATTTCATTGCTGGTAGTCTGGATGAAGCATACCTTGATGTAACTGAAGTTTGCAAAGAAAGGAATGTCAAAAGTGAAGAAGTAAGTTGATGCATGCTTTGAATTAAATTAACAATGGAAGACCATTACTGTACTAATCTAAATCTCTTGATTTTGTAATTTTGGAATTTGTAGATTGCCCAAGTACTCAGAGCTAGTGTTTATGAAGAGACTGGTCTCACCTGTAGTGCTGGAGTGGCACCAAATCGCTTACTTGCTAAGGTTCTGGATATTATATGCTAAACATATTTCCAATAGTTATGTTATCAGTATGAGCGCATTTGCTGAAGTAGAAGCTTTAAAACACCTTATCATGTTACATTTAAGATACTAACCCCTGTAATTGTCAGACGTTCTTTTTTCAAATGAATTGCATCAAGGAATGCTGCACTTTCACATTTTTCCCTTTCATTTTCCATTTGTTTAATTCTTTCCGTGTATCTTTTCAATCTCATAATTGGCAGTGGCAGTTGTCTTGTATTATAATTTTTTTTGTTGAATTTCTACCTGCATATTCGCACACTTCCACTCACCAACTGTTTCCCAATTTTAGGTTATAAATTAAAATCGTTGGTGACACCTAAAGGTTTGTCAGCTTTAATATGGAACTAAATACAAGTGAAGTAGAGGCTCTGAAATAATACTTCTTTCTAGCTATTGTTTTGTAGAAACTAGATAGTAGTACAGATGAAGAGATTGTTTTATCTTCCTGGGAAATTTCATGCTATGACATTATAATATTGACATTTTACACCAATATAGGTTTGTTCAGACATAAACAAGCCAAATGGACAGTATATTTTGCCAAATGATCGCATGGCCGTTATGACCTTCATATCCTCCCTTCCTATTAGAAAGGTATGCTTGAGTTTATTGTATACTGATTTCATCAATTATTGGGGGTTTTTTTTATTCTAAATTATTGGTTTTCTCCTACACGTGGCCAGGACTGTTTTATATGCATTTGTATTTTAAAGATATGCTTTTGTGATTAATAATGATGAATGGTATTGACAGATTGGGGGCATTGGTAAGGTCACTGAACAAATTTTGAAGGAAGTTTTTGGAATTAACACATGTGAGCAGATGCTGGAGAAGAGTAGCTACCTTTGCGCACTTTTCTCTCAGTCATCAGCAGGTTAGCCATCGTTCAGTTGTTGCTTCTTCCTTTATTAATGTGCAAAACTAATATACAAATTATATTTACTTCCCTGTTGATTTTGCTACATTTAAATGGAAATTTGGCTGAACTTCATACAAGGTTTTTTTTTTTTTGGTCTCGATGTCTATTTTGTAAACTCAATCTTGCGCTTTCTACAGCTACTATTTGGCATGTTTGTAATTTAGGTTTTTTGATTTTGATCATATTTTATTTTCCAAATTAATCATGCGATTCCTTTGATACCATGTGGCTTTTTGTCAATTTGCTGCAGATTTTTTTCTCTCTGTAGGTTTAGGTCTTGGGCAGACAGATTCTCCCCAAGTAAGATTTCGGAAAAGTATTAGTAATGAAAGAACATTTTCTGCCACTGAGGATGAAGTGCTGTTGCATAAAAGATTGGGTATCTGTCTTATCTATTATTTTTTATCTTTAAAGGAAGTTTCTTGGATTTCCTAATTTCAATGTAATCATCACAAGCTCTAGTCAATTACTTGGTATTTGTAGACCTCTTTATTGAAACTCAAATATCTGGGATTCAATTGGTTTTTTAAAAGGTTTAGCTATTGACTATATCGTGCTGAGTTTCTGAATTAGGTTAGACTTTAGTTATATTGACTCGTCAGCATATGTTTGCAGTGGAGCTTGCTGAAATGTTATCAACCGATATGCAAAAAGAGGGTCTGTGTGGGCGAACATTGACTCTTAAACTGAAAACTGCTTCTTTTGAGGTATTAATGGTTACTGATGACATGACACTTTTTTAACAATGTCTTCCTAATACTGGTCGAGAACAATTTAGTTGGTTTGTCATCTCTGTATATAAAACTAGATTGGAAAAAAGAAAAAGTCACTTGTTGAGAGCAACGTACATGACCTTAAGGATATTATCATTTGTTGATTTTTCTCGATTTTAGTTCAAGTCCCTCTATGATGTTTTATTGTCTCCCTGCATTCTACCGCCCTACTATACTTTTCTTGGACGTGCTAATAGATTCACAACCTACAGGTTCGGACTAGAGCTGTGACTTTACAAAAGTACATCAGCTCAAGTGAAGATATTTTGAAGCATGCTCAAAAGTTGCTAAAAGCTGAACTTCCTATTTCAGTAAGATTGTTAGGTATGTGTTTCCGTTAGGTTTATTATTCTTGACATTTATCAAGATGGTGCTTGAGGCCAAGATAAGAAGGCCAAGATATGAGAGTTCACATTTGTGCCTTATCTGTGTTAGGCTTAACAAAGATTTTTCTTCTGTTAGGTCTTAGAGTATCGCAGTTTAATGGAGACAAGTGTAGTGCTATGTCTGATCCTACACAGAAGACCATTACCAACTTCATTACTTTGGGAGATATCAATAGAAATTGTAGTTATTCTTCAGATGTTGCAGATCATAATTTTGTCAGTAATGCAGAGACTGATCTTTCCATTGACAGTCGGCAGACAAGTCAGCTTGATTGGAGAGATCCTTTTGATGATAATCATTCATCAGATGTAGGTTACCAAAGCTGCCCAGTCTGGCAAAATGATTGTGTAGAGGAGGTCTCTCTCTGTCCCCACTTGTTTTGTCATGTAGCTGACTTATAAATGGATTCAGAAATTGATCGAGGAGCATGCCTATACTGTTACTTCTATTTATGCTTTCTGCTGTATTTACCAGGTACAAACATCTAGTAATGGTGCTACAAGTTCTAACTACATTGGATTTACGGAAGTGCTGGGGTCAACTTCTTTCCAGGGGCAGTTTGAAGGCGTAAATGTGAAGAATAGTTCCAATTTCCTGGAGGATGAGGGGCTTAATTCTTGTTGCCAGGAGAAGACAATGTTGTGGTTGAATGACTACAAATGTTCACTTTGTGGAATAGAACTGCCTCCAAGTTTTGTAGAGGAAAGATTGGAGCATTCTGATTTTCATCTTGCTGAAAAGCTTCAAAAGGAAGAATCTAGGACTAGGATTCACCAAACATCTGTTACTCAAAGGTAATATTTATTTTGCACTATTTGCTTTGCCTTTTGCAATCGAAGTAGTAGAAATGAACTAGACAGTTCATCTTCACATGTTTGCTGAAGGTGTATTTTAACGTGATTAATATATGTAATTATGTATGTTTTTTCAGTCGGGGACAAAAGGATGTAATCACTAGACAAAGCAAATCCAAGAAGCAAAAGTTGTCGCAGAAAGAATGCAGGTATACACCCATTGATTATTTTTTTGTTAAAAAATAATCAAAGCTGTCAATTTATTATAATGTACAGAATAACTCAACTTGGCAGTTACTGTATAATATGCATGATATTTTTTCTTGTAACATGTATAAAATAATAATCCATCCACTTGTAATTTAGGTTGTAATATGAAATCTTGTATTTTAGGTTGTATAAAATAGTTTCCTTCACGTGGCATATTGTCCGTGAGTATTTTCCGTTCACAATCTGCTTTAAATTATACACTATCTCCAAGTTGATTCGAAGAGACTGGTTACGATTTTCTGTCACAAGTTCAAATAAGCTTTTTCAAATGCACCTTAAATTTAACTTCTCATAAAATGCCAAAATATGCATTTTTCTTGCAGTTGCTTCGAGAGTTTGGAAAACAAGCTCGCTAATGCATAGTTTGATTTTATAGAAAAAGAAAAGGAGCAAAATTATGAACTGTAGAAACTCGAACACTAGAACTTTCCTCTATTAAATACAGAAAAGTTTCATACGAACCGATTCAAAAGATAGAATACGGTATTCTTCCGACATCTGACAATCGTTATCAATTTGAACTTCGAAGCAGCTGTAAACTGTAAACTAATTTCCATATTTGGTACATTTCTAGAAATGATACACAAACAGTTTGTCGGCAAAATAAATGACTTATGGTAATCAAACTAAATAAAAAATATGCAAAACAAACTCCTCAGAATTCCGTTTGGCCCAAGTTTTACTCTTAAATTTACTTAATGAATTTTATAAAGGACAAAATCACAATATTATGATGACATCATGTTAGAGTCAAATTTTAAAGGAGTTAAGAGGAGTGAATTAGACTTAAAAGAAAAAGACTTAGATTGTTATTGAATTATGAGTTATTTTTAGTAGTTTATTTTTCCTTTTTTGTAAATATTTTTGCATTTTTGATTTTGTATTTTGGGTCAAATAGGGTAAGAATTTATTTTGTAATTTTTATTTTTATGATGTGATTAACATTATGGGAGGGGTGTAATTAGAAAAGAGATTTGGATTTATTGGATTTGAATGACTCATGAACACCCCTACTCTCATGAGTGGGTGTCCATTTGCTTGTGCATCCAACATGGAGGAGATAAGAGTGTATGGAGCTATTCAATAAATTAACATGTTTCATGATTTTGTCTAATCACACTTTTGGTGTCTTATCAAGTGTTAAATTCATCATAACTCTACATATAAGATGTTAACATGAATCATACTTTCTTTGTCTTGTCATGTGACAAGCTTTTATTGACTTTTCTAAATTTAAAATAGTGACATTTTTGGAGGAAAATTTGAATTCCAAATTGTGACTAGGTTAACTTAATTAGGTTAGTAGTCTTGAATGCAAGTTAACTTGTACCACAAGCTACCAAATCTTATACATACTTGTAATCTCACATGGCTAAACACATTTGAGCATTTTGTGAGAAATAACATTGAACTTTCTCCTCCAAAGGTCTTAATTTTCACTATTGGAGATACTTTTTTCTTATGAACTTTTATTATAAAATTTTTTTGGGAACAAATTTTTCACCATTCTTGTTTATCTTCTCTAAGAAGTAGTGTGCATCACCTCCTTTCCTCTTTCATTATTTTCAAGTTTTTGAAGTTTACAAATTCATAAAAGAAGATTGGGAACATATTAAAGCTAGTTGAAGAGAAACTATATCCATCTCCTCTACTAGTTTTCATCATAATATACTTTTTTCAATTAAAATTGGATTCTTGTCTTCTTACCATTCAATACTTTCAAAGTTAATATTGATTGTATCTTGATTGAAATAATCCTTTTGTGTGTATTGTAATTTTTTCTTGAGGAATGATATTTTATTTTGTTGAACAAACTTATTCTAAAGAATATTTTTTAAAACTTGTTAGGTTCATATTTAGTATTTTTATTTATATCAACCTCTTGTTACAAGTATAAATTGGCGAGATTGATTTTCAAAAATATATGTTTAGGAACAATTTTTAATTGTGATTCTTTCATCAAAGCAACATGAAAATATTGTATACCTATTTCAACATGTATCTTTCATAATTTTATTAAAATATTTAATAGTATATTTATAATTCAAACTCAATATATTGATTAAAGTGAAATAGATTTGCGTACATTGATTCATACATTTAAAAATGTAAATTTAAGCATTGAGACATGTACCTTATTAATAAATTATATATACATAAATAAATAATCTTATAATTAACATTTATTTATACTTTTATAACATATTATTTGTCAAAATAAAAGTGAATTAATAAATTATTAATTATTTTTAAATCATATAAATATAATTAACTTAATCAAATTTATTAAAATTAAGAGAAAAAAAGGTATTTTGTACCTCTATTTAATTTTTTTTAAAAGGATGGTGGGTGATATGATGAAAAGTTTGATAATTAAATGTTGTTGAAATAGAGAAAAGAGAGAATAAATAAATAAATGAAAAATGATGAAAGAGAAAATGATTTAGAAATAGTTATAAGAGTAAATTAGTCTAAAATTTATGTTCACAAAAAAAATATTTTTTTTTATTAATAGCATAGATTTTAAATATAATGATTGAATTAATAAAATTTATAATTTATAAAAATATTTAATCATTTAAAATAAATAATAAATTATACTTTTTTCTACTTAAAAATTTGAATATTATACAAGTTTCTCCTGTTATATTAAAAATTATATCTCCTGGAAAAAAATTTAAATATATAACATTTTACTTATTTTTTAAAAATTGTAGTCAAGAGTTTGTTTATCTACTTAAACTTCTTTTACTTTAACATCTTTTAAATATTAAGTGTTAAACTATTTTGTTCTTTTTTATGTTAAAATACACATTTATTCTTCTTTAACAAATATAAATATTTTATACTTCACTAATATATGATAATATATATAAAAAATAATGAAACTTTTAAAAATATAAAAATTAATAAAATATTTATTTAATTTGATGAATTAGTTTTGTTTTGGTTATTTAAATTAAAATTTGACATTTAAACAAAAGTTATTGAATTTTTAGTTAGTTTTATAATTTTAATCCACATAATAACTTGAACCAATCTAAAAAAAAAACTTGGTTTTGTTTATATCAAATTTATCAAATTATGGGATTGGTTTGGATCTCTACCCATCCCTAATTTACTAAAAGAAAATTTGAAAGGGAGAGTGCGTTGGGCATTAATTATTAATTATGTGGATAAAAGGAGGGGCAGGCTGAGGCAGGTGAGATTGTGAAGCCCCAAAACTAACCTAACACTTCTGAGAATGTCTCGTCGTCACTCCGATTCGAAGCGACGGCATTCTAGATTCGATACACATCCAAGGTCCCTCTTTTCTCTTTCTCTCTCCTCACTTTTATCGCTTATTTTGTTTTTACTATTTCTCATAATTTGATTTCTCATTTCTGTGGTGTGTAGCCCCAAGAGATATAGAAGGGATGAGAGAGAGAGAGTGACTAATGGAGAACATGAACATGAACATGAACATCAACATCAACCCCCTTTGCCTAAGCAACAATCTACCTCTCTTCACAGCAAACCAAATGATCGGCATGAGTCACCCAAACATGCACTACAAGTACCAACATCTCTCTCTTATTTTCTCTTTTTCAGTACTACTTTTAATTTGTTTTTGACTTGCTTGGCACTGTCGGAGCTACTACTCAAAATGAGCTAAACATTAGTATTAGAAAGGACATTGCTTTACTTCAAAGTCAATAATGCTTCAAGAGGGCTGCATACCGCTTGGTTAGCGTTAGAGCCATTACTGAAAATTTCCCTTCTCCCCATAATTGATTAACTGTATTGCTCAGTTATTATATCTTCTTGAATTGCATATAATTAATTGTGTTTACTCTGAGGGGCCCAAATCCATCCTTGGCAACATACCTTCAAGTGCCCCTCTATATGTATAACCACCTTAGGCTTGTCTATTCATGTTTTATAACAGCATGATGAACGAGATAGCTCTGGGCAGGTTGGCCGAAGCTCTGGTCAAAGGAAAGCTGGCGGTGAGTTTCCATTTTTTATTTTGGATATGTATTGTCTTCCATGTTTTGTGTTATCATTTTCTTCACGATTCATTATGGGGAATCCCTTGTATATTGACTCTAGTCATACAAGTGCAATATTCCTTTAATTTTATGCAAGAATTTCAGTTATAATGTGTTTTAAGTGATGTTTGGATATCGTTGGAAATCTGTTGGAGGGGTGTAAAACGTACTTTTGGAGAAGGATCTGTTTTTTATCCTTTGCTTCCAATGTACTTTCGAAAGGATTCAAACAGTTCCCCAAATATGCACTTAGCCATTTTGTTACAAAGGTGGTTGAGCAACAAAAATGTTTGACTTTATAATTTTAAACCACTTGTGTGTTATTGCATCAAGTGGAAATATTACACATAACAGAAAAGGATGTAATTTGTTTGTTTTTTATTCAAGAGCGTGGATGGTGGAAGGACTCAAGGAATCATCTTAATGAAAGGACACAGACTAGTCATGGTAGAGAGGAGAGAGATGAGAGATCACAAGCTAAACTGGATGATAATACTTTCCAGAGAAGAGATGGGTTTTCCGAAAGAAAAGATGAACCACCTCCTACCTCAAGGAAAAGACCTGCATTTAGGGAGAAGAAGATTCCAGCGGATTCAGGAGATGCTAATCTGGCTGCAGTAGTGGAAGTAAAGTCAAGCCAGATAGAAAGGAATGACAGGAAGGAGGAAAGGGGTAGCAATCTGCACCGTTTGGATAGACCTGAGAAGCGTTTTGCAGATGACAGAGCACCTAACAAGGGTGAAGCTAGGAGAGATGGGTTTCCATCAAGAGGAAGGTATGGGGGCAATGACAGTTACAAGGGAAGAGATAAATTTAATGGAAGACAAGGTTATCGTCCAGGTTACATTCGAACTGAGAAGTGGAAGCATGATTTGTACCAAGAGGTAAATAAGGATCCTATTCCACAGAATGAGGATGACCAGATTGCAAAGCTGGAAGCACTCTTGGCTTCATAATAATAGCAAACAGCTGTCAATATTCCTGGGATTTTAAATGTTGTTTTGTACATCATCCATATCAACTTGCAGATTATGGGACAATTTCCATAGAAGGTTTACGTAATTTAAACATGTGTTGCTCTAAGTTGCTGAATGCCTCTTACAATATCAAGTTATCACCATCTTCAACTACCAGGGAAGTTGAGGCTTTAATCCCCAGTTACTGAGCCTTGACTTCATTGGTGCGCAGAGCAATTTGCAATTTAAATGCTTGTGTTTTCCTAAACTATCAAAGCCTTTTTGCATGGTTTAGACAATTTCTAGTTCGCGAGGTATCATCATGGAATTTTATTTTTGGTCAATCCTATGAAGTGTGTCGAGCTGAATTGGACAGATTGCATGAGCGCAGGTTAAAGACCTTTATAACTAGGCAAAAAACTATTATTCATCTTAGGATCAGATATCTACATGATCGCCCGTTATGGACATGTGCACATATAGTTCCATTTGATTGTAAAAGTATGTGAAAATTGCCGAGGAAAACTTAGTTCGGTTTGGTTTTAATAGTATGTTCGAAAAATGCGAAAGAAAATTGAGTAAAAACGAATAATGATAGTCACTGATTTCACATTAGATAGCAGGTAAAAATAAATCACTAGTGATAGTGTTGGTGATGGTGGCTAGGACCATACTAGCCAGTTCGCTGTCGTCACAAAAGCACGTTGCGGTATTTAATCATTTTTTAAGGATAACAAGAATATTATTTTATTTCATTTAATAAGTATTTTAAATGTCAACATTTTATGGAACTTTTTTTGCATTAAATCCAATTTAAATTAATGATTTAATAAATAAATTTTAGTTCATTTCGTTTCATAAAAACAATTTTCATAATAAAATATATTATATTCAAAATAATTAAAACCATAAGATAAAATTTTAGAAATAAGACTATGGAAGAGAAATAAGTATTGTAATTTTATAAATATATATTAAATGCTATAAATTATGTCCATGCTTTTCCACGGTAAATATATTATGCAATTAAGTGAGAAACTGTAAAAGTGATTTTTTTGAAAAAAAAACAAACCTAAGGTGAATAACATTATTCTGGAGGTTAAATTCACTATACTTTTAAAAAGTAAGCCTTTATTTACACTTAAAAGGTACTTTAATTTTACTGTATAGTCAAAACAAAATCAATTCTTCTAAACCTTTAAAATATCATTCTCACATTTTTTTTCTTCTTCTTTTTGCTTGAATTCATTCAAATTCAATTCTATCAAAACCTAAAAGATTATCACACATTCATATCAAGCATTTTGGTTGCACTTCAGCCAGTGCACCTTGGTTTCTATAGTTCTACTAGTAATTTCTGTAGAATTAACTTAAAAACAATACAAAAACTAGGAAACAATTCCAAATTTGAGGTCAAGAATTAAATTGAAGCTATATGATATCAAATAGCAAGATCTTCTATGTCGGTTAGGGGATCTGCGTTGCCAAGAGACTTGTCAGGGATGTTAATCACCAATTGTCCACAAGCACCACTTATGTCCTGACCCATCTGCTTGCGAACTGTTGTTCGAATATTATAGGTACCCCTAAGAATTTTCTGAAAATTTGAGACTTTCTGCTCACTGGAAGGTTTGTATTGACTCAAGGTACCAATAGAGTTGAAAGGTATTAAGTTCACTACCTGTTCCATAATTAAGACCATGAGCAAAAAGTTAGTACTTAATAGCATTGTGTAACTGAGCAGAAGAGTAGAAGAGTGCAATAAGAATTATTGCCGCAGGGCATAAATGTTTTACAGAGACATCCAATAGAGAAAAGAACAAGCAATTTTTCAAATCTAAAAATGCAATACAGAGGAAACACTCAAAATACAGAAATTTCCAATGTGCTCCCGAGTAAATATCGAGTGTTTACCACTTGAAATGTCTCCAACAGTTTTCCCAATTGGTGGGCATGCTGTTCTTCATCATTCACCCCATCAAGCATTATGTATTCTATTAATATTTTCTGCAGACTATAATTAAGGGTGAAATGTTAATGCCTCCAAAATCACCAAAATTGTTCACAACAGATTGCATAATACTACTCACAAGTCACAAGTAACATGAATGGTCAATAATCACCTTTTCCTTTGATATTCTTGCAGTGAATCCATTAGTTTTTCCAAAGGGAAAGCACGAGCAGCAGGCATTATCTGGCAACGGATGTCTTGGGCTGGTGCATGCAGTGAGACTGCCAAGTTCAAACCAGGCAGGTCATTATGAAGCTTGTTGATAGCGTGAATGATGCCAACCTATTAAAGATGCAAATATACCCTTCATAAGCCACAAATTTCCAGCATTCATGAACGTTTGTACAAGAAATTACCTAACAGAACAACAGACAAAGCAAAGACAATGTCCCAGATTCTCATTATAAACATAATCTGCTTTAGAGCCTCCGGAAATTCTAAGATTTTACTCAAACAGTAAGCAATATGGTTAACAAAGAGGAAATGTCTCAGCTGGGTAGTAATTAACTATTTATCAAAAATACTCTAAAAAAAAAGGAAGTGCCTTGTATTTCTTTTTCAGTTCTTGAGTTTTTGGCATAAAGTGCAAGACCCACCTTATGTTAGAAAAAAAAAAAAAAAGACGAAAACAATGCAAATCCATAGAGCATATTTTTACCGTTGAGATGGTAATCCTTTTCAATGACAATTGAAATGGCAATCCAGTCATGATGCGAACAGCTTCTACTACAGCAGAATAGTTGTTCAGAGGCTCTCCCATTCCCTGTTGTAAGAAAGTAGTAGATAGTAGATTAGACAGCAATCAGAATATTAATAGCTATTATAGTGATATAAGTGGCATTTAATACAGTTTTAGAATAGAAGAACGGCTGTTAAAATAAAAGAGTGAGGAAAAGGTCTCTATTGAAATAATTGAGACTTGGGTATTGGGTTTGTCTGGCATGATTGGCTGAAAAACTAGATTAAAGTTGAAAAGTTACTTAGAGGTGAAAAGCTACTTAAAAGCTATCCAATTATCTTGCTAAACTCACACATTGATGGATGAAAACTAAAGAATAGAAACCAAATGTCTGTTTAATTTCCTTCTCACTTTTTGGTTTTAAAAACTGTTTTCTAAAACAATTCCACACCACTCTATATATAATCAATATCTCATCCAAAATCTATTAAAAGATTTGAAAATTGTTTGCAAAACAAGTGTTTTAAAATCCAAAAAGCAGAAACAGACGGGAGATGCTCTGTCATCCTCTTCTTCTGTTTCGTAGTCCTAGTTCAAGGATGTGAGCCATCTGGAGTGGTATTGCGTATGGTGAAGCATAAATTGTGCTAGTTTTATAGAAATTCATTCATGATTTCAAAACTAGAAACAATTTTTGAAAATAGAAATCAAATACACTCTTAGTATTCTAATATTGATGATGTAATGCAAATTTCAAAAGAAAATAAATAATAATCCCATACTAGACTCATGATCCTAATTAAATATGTAAATAAATAATGAAACAATAATAGTATAAGAGAACTAATCCTAAGAGATAATAAGGAAACATGAAAACTAATTTTAAGGTACCTTAAAAAATTAACTCTTAAGATATAATCAATAATTGTTGGATATTTTTCATGTATTCTAACACTAAGTTGATTTCTAATGGAGTTTCGGACTCTTTAACCTTTATTAGAAATTGACTCGCAGGAAATCAATAATATTTACTTGTTCAGTTACTCAGTTGATAATAGGAAGTATTTCTTGCACAAGTGTGGAGGATAATCAGGCAGAAACTAATGGTTTTACCTTATTTTATTCCCCACTTTTCTTTATATATGAAACAAGGAATGAGTATAGCAGGTTTTCCAACAATTTAATTTGCACAAGCCTGCTTCCATGTGAGTGGTATGCTTATATTAGTAGATATTTATGAGTTAGCATCAGCAACAAAATTCATTCAGGAGCAGGGAAAGAAAAGGAGAAAAAGGAAGAAGATGAGACATAAATTTGTTGCTTCAGACATGCAGTATTTAAAAATCTAGAGTGACAGGGGAAGCAAGGTGAAGTAATACTTATCCCTTGAATTGATGCAGAAAAACAGAATGGGGGTAAAAGAAAATTACCATGAAGACAACATTACGGATTTGAGAGAAAGAAGAGGCATGAACGAGCTGTTCGAGAATTTCTCCTGATGATAAGTTATTTTTGAATCCCATGGATCCAGTGGCACAGAAGTTGCAACCCATTTTGCATCCAACCTGGAGAAAATGAAAGGAGGCATTTAACAAAAGGTTAGACAAAGGAAGAAAAGAAATGGTAAGCTAAGAGCTAACCTGAGATGAAATACACAAAGTTGCTCTGAGACCACCGGGGCGGGGTTTGCCACCATATTTGCCCAAACGAGTATCGTATCTCATTATGACAGCCTCCACGAATGCTCCATTCTACAATAAACATAATAATTAATGAATCAATTAATTAAATTAATTATCGTGGAAAGGCAAAAGGAGAGTAGAGAGTACTCGGAGCCTGATGAGGAGCTTCGAGGTGAAGTTGTCGGCAGAGTGGAAAACGGAGTGAAGAGAGGAAGAGAGAGGGGTTTTGAAGTGGGAAGCAAGGACAGAGTAGGCTGAACAAGGCAACGACGGAACCTCTTTCTCCCAGTCCCAATCCTTCGTATTCGCATTCGCACTCGCATTCGCACTCGCATTCGCAACCACACGCTTCCATATCATTGGAATGAATTTTCTGTCAATTCCACGCTTCTCCAATTCCTTTCTCACTTCGCCGCCATCAAACACCGATCGGATTCCCATTCTCCTCCCTCACTTCTTTTTCCCTCCCATCACTTTAATCATCTATTTATTCTTCTTTTTTATTTTCTTTTTTTAATTAAAATACAAAAATCTTTTAAATAAAAATTATCTTATATACAATACGTATTCCAATTATTACATAAAGAAAAGTATTTATGATATTTGTTGACGACTAAATTTTACCAACATAATTGTTTTTTAATTATACAATATTAATATAAAATATTTATCATAATGGCATGACTTATGAATATTTAATCTTTATTTTATTTAAGATATATTGATATTGATGTCCAATTCAGATGACAGTGGCAGCAGCAGACCTTTAAAAGTTAATTAATTAGAATATGAAAGATATAAAATGAAGACTGTTGGGAATCATTCACCAAAGCAAGTGATATTGATTACAGTTGGGAATCAGATAACAGAAACAGAAATTAAAAATGTGATATACAATTGCTTTATCAACATTTAAAGAAGATGAAA